GGATAGGTTTAAAATGTAAAGGTCCAGGCAAACCTCTGCCCATGCTACCATCTTCTCGACCAATCAACATAGGTTGCTGTGTATGTTTTTGGCGGGGGAGATAAACATAAGAGGAACAGAGAGACGAGAGAGTAAGACTAAAGAGTAATTTTGCCAGTGTAAGAGAAATAAATACAAAACGAGATTCACCGATTCGCATCGGTGCACCGGCATAAACGTTCAAGATGCAAGTGCACCGGTTGAGATAGTGCACATCGGCTACAGTTTGGGTTGAACTCGCGATGCATCGATTTTAGCGTCTTTGCATCGGTAAAAAAACGATTCATTCATATAATATCCCCTCATCCTGTCAGCACTCAGCAGAGACGATCTTTGATCTTTGCTTCGCACTACGGAGGCCGAGAGTCTCAGTTATCAACACACATGGAAGTCGAGGAGAAAGAGAAACACAGCGCACCGAAAAATACCTACAAATCAAACGTTTGGCAACACTTCGGATTTTTCAAGGAAGACGGTCAACTTGAAAAATCGCTCGCAAATTGTAAACGATGCCGTGCCGCTTTAAAGTACACAAGTATTACGAGGAACTTAGCGACGCACATAAAGAGGCGACATGGGGTCTGCGGCTGAAAATAAAAACCTGAAAGTTAGACATGTCAGAGACTCTATGACTCATAACAACCTAGTGAGGCTGTCCAACAACATAATCTCTGACCCAAACCATGTTCTGAACAGTGAATATGAACTGCTACCATCTAATCGGAGATAGAGGGTCACACGATTCAATAAAGTCAGACTGAAGCACTCCTTTGTGCATCAGTCAATCCTCACAATAAATACAGAGCTAAATCCCAGATCAAATGCACGCTGAAGGCTCTTTGAGCAGCTTTTTGTGTTTCATGTATTTTTGTCTGGATATTTGTCTGTTGATGTTGGACATGGAGCTGCTGTGACGCAAGTCAAATTTCAGACTTGATCTGACAAATAAATGAATATCGTATCGTATCGTATGAGTTAAATCACTCAGTGAGGTGTTATGTCAGAGAGAGTGGTGTTTAGTTTACAACAGCCTGTGACTGCCAATAATAGTTTAAATGTCTTCCTTACAATTGTAAGCAGTTGTGAAATACCTGTTTGTGAAAGGTTATTTGTATTCTTTATTGTTCATATAGAAACCACACCACTGCTTTCTGCTCACTGGTGAGTTAGCCTATGAACGAGTGTTAAGCACATCAGGCTGGCAGTTGTATGGGCATTGCACTATGGTAGTTGTTATTTGCACATTGTTAATCATGGGCAATGCATCCTTAAATTGTTTAACTGTGAGGTGTTTTACAATTGTACTGGACTCAGGAGAGTTTTTTATCTGGGACTCCCAGCAGCGGACTTCCGGCCGGGGACTTCGGGTGGCAGTATACGCCGTGAAGTTGTTTGCGGCCTGCCAGTAAACCAAAAGCAGAAGAAGAAGAAGTGACGTCAGCGGCTTCATTTGCCTAATCCTTCCCCAGGAACTTATTCCGGTGTGAACGCGATCTTTAGTTCTCATGAACTCTTTAGTTCATGAGAACTAAAGAGTTCTCATGAACCTTTGTGGGAAAAGTACTGCGGTGTGAATGCGCCTAATGGTACTTGGTTGCCATACGAGATTGCATTGGTTGGAGGTTGCCACCTTTCCCAGAAATAAACTTCTTGCAGTGGTTACAGACCCCACCATTCAGACTGGCAGTCATATGCAGCCACACTTTAGATTTTCTAAAGTGACTCGTTTGCGGAGTTTCACGGCGAAATTGACATCGTAATTCCGACGGTTTGGGCGCGAGTTTAAGGATATTACAGCTCACTTTTATAAAAAAAAAAGAAAAAAAAGAAAGAAAAAAAAAGTATCGAAAACCGGATCTGATTTCGGTACGGTACACCGTAGCCGCCAGTAACCGGTATTTCTGTAATACCGGGAACCGGTATGCACCCCTACATGCAAGGCAATGTGGCAGCCTAGGAAAGACATTTCAATCAGTGTTAATTTCGTCAACGAAAACTATGACGAAAAATGTTCGTCAATTACCTTTTTTACATGACTAAGACGAGACAAAGACGAGCTAAAAATAGATTCTTGATAACGAAAACTATGACGAAATGTATATTTAGTTTTCGTTGACGAGACGAGACGGGACTAAGGTGTTAATGGTGGACTATCGGACATTCAAAATGCAGCATATTTCCCCCCAAGTGTCCATCTTGTCTGTCAAAATGCATCTTACGTTTCTAACTTGCAATATCATTATTTCCGCTCTCTTCACTCCAGAAGATCTCCCTGTGTCTCTCTGTGTGCGGAGGGCGGGGCCTAACAGACACGCTGCAGCGGACACAGAGATCTGCCGGGGACGGAGCGTTCAGAGAGTATAGAGACACTCTACAAGGCTCGATGTGGAAAAAGCTTGTTTGCCATTAGTGTTATGGCGTAAGCGCGTTGACATGAGTAGAGTAGTCTGTCCAAACAGCTGGCCAAAAGGCGTCATATTAAATCGGAGAAATGCACAATTTTCGACTTCCTTAACTCGTAGCTCTGTTGCGCAAATTACGAGTAACGTTATCACATCAGATGCGCAGAGGTGGGAGAAGTACTCGGATCTTGTAGTTAAGTCAAAATACCATAGTGTATGAATACTCTGTTACAGTAAAAGTCCTGTATTCAAAATGTTCCTCAAGTAAAAGTATAAAAGTAGCGACAGTAAAAGTAGTCATTGTGCAGATTGGTCCATTCCAGAATAATATATATATATTTTATAATTATTGATCATTAAAGTGTTATCTAAGATGGTAAAGGTGCAGCTAGTTTTAATGACTTTGTATACTGCAGGGTAGCTTGTGAATTTACTCCAGGTGGAAATAAAGTCTGATTTAAGACTTGTTTATATTTCACATCATTAATCCAAATCTGTAAAGTAACTAAAGGTATTAACCTGTTAAGCACCAAGCCTGTTTTTCATGTTTCAGGCTCGAAAATGACATGCCCAAAACAAATGACTACAACTTAACTTCTAAAAGGGTTATATGAATAATTTCTTTTATCAAAGCAAGGTTACATATGTGAGTTGGATGTAGAAGTGTCAGAATCAATATAGATGTTTTTTATTTTAAAGAAAATTCAGATTTTACAAATTCTTTTTTACTTATAGTGAAAACTACCCTTGGATGATGGTAAGGTAGACTAAAAGCTTTAGGAATCCAAAGTACAACATGTAAGTACCCTGTATCAAGATTGATGCAAAACGAGTGACATTTGACCTTTTTAGAGAGATTTAGCCAAAAACCCTCCACCTCTGAGGTGATTTGGGTGTAAATGTTTTTTTTTTCCATATCTCTGGAACCCATTGGTCGATTTTGCTGGTTGAAACCTCTTTCTGACCGTTAGAGCCAATAGAATCGAATGGGGAGTCCCCCACACACACTCATTGTGAAACAAAAAGGTGGGGGCTTTGCGCATGTCATTTTGCATTAGAGTGAAGCTACATTCTAGCTCTGACATCTAGAAACGGAATAGCATGGATTATCCGTTTTATTGCTCATGGATTATCAGAAATCATTTCAAAGGGACACAGACACATTGGATTAACCTATGGATTAACTTCAGCTTTTATCGTTTTAATGCCATTGAAGACCACTTTGGAGAGACTACAGACCCAAGGTAACCTTGTTAGCATTTTTAGCTACCTAGCGTCACCTGTTTTGATGTCTGTTTTTGTTTATAACGTCGCAAATTCGTATAATTCAGTGATAATGAGGGTACCCTCATCGATTCTGTGTCACCTCACGATGTGAATCGATGTCATGGATGTGGAGAAAAGATAAATAATAAGGTTTTGTGAGTGATTTTCGGTGCAGTAATCTGTTAGCATTTTTCGCTCGTTGCTAATTCAGAGGCTCAGTGTTAGCATTGTGGGTTTTCTTTTGAAAAAAAAATAAAAATGATCAGTTAGATGAGTTTCTTCCCGTTACATGGATATAAAACATTCATAGTTTTATTAAATGAACATGCCCTCAGACACTGTTTCCTGCAAGATGTTGCGGCAGTGCCCCGGTACCGGGGTCTCTCGGGCTTAACAGGTTAAATGTTCAAATGATAATATATTTCTCTGAAACAAGTTATTTTTGTTGCAATGTCATCTGTTATGGTTTAATATCTCTTTTTTTTTTTACTCTCAACCTTTTTTTGACAGAACAAACATGATCAGAAATGTAAATATAGAAATACATTTCGTTTTTATTATTCCATATTATCCTAGGCGTTTTTCAGTGAAAACGCCTAGGATAATATTGTAATAAATTGCTGTAACTTGCTCAGGGAACATAATATGCAGATACAATTTAATTTGGAAGCCTAAAACATCTAAATGCAGCTTTATAAATAATAAAAAAGAAAATTCCTATGATCCTGGCGGAGTAAACGGTAAAAAACACAACATTTGCACTGGCGTTTTTTGAAAAGTGATGGTAAATTCAGCCATTATCACACAAAGTTAAGGTAAAATTTGGACTTTAAATGAACCAGATTTGAACTTGAGGTTCTCCTGAATCAAATGAGGTAAGGCACTTGATGCTGACTGCTAGAAAAGGTTAGGAGAAACAAATAAATACAGGAGAGTCAGGCAGGCGGAAATTCAGTCTAGGTCTTTAAGGGTTAACCTGTCACCTGATTGTGTGTTGAATTTGCACTATCCTAATTTTAATGCACAATTTCATTGTTGTACCTTTAATCTAAATGTATTCTTTTTATGTCTACTCTATGCTATTTTTTGTTTGTTTTTATGTCTTTTACTGGTAACTGTTTTCTGTGTGATACATTTTCTGTGAAATGTCTATGTGAAGCACTTTGGACTGCACTCGTTGTATGAAAGGTGCTATACAAATAAAGATTATTATTATTATTATTACAGCTGAATATTAGGCCGACAGTTGCGAGAATAGTATATCTAATGATGTAACAGAGTGTAATACCATACCTGTGGTAGCTGAGGGGACTGTCTTCCAATCAGGCTCCACTTCCCGCCTCGTATCCTGTAGCCACTTACCACTTTACCTGTAACACATCAGCCAGGTTACTACGGATACTGATTCAAGTTACTTTGAAATGGATTTATGAATAGCCTGGGATGACTCACCGAGGTGGTGTGTGTGGGTCCTGAAGGCAAACGGGTAGATTGGATATGAACTGTAGTCACAGGCCATGTCTGCATTTGTTTCTAAAAAATAAAAAGGGATGTCAAGGCCCATTCTGTTAACACCTTACAGCCCAATGTATGTCACTTTATGTTAGATTTGTACATTCTTATTTTATCTTACTTTTTATTTTTCTATTAGTAACTTCTTAAGCTGCACCCTCTCCAAACATGCGTAGAGACAGATTTACTTGTTTTATTTGCCGTTGAATTGCTGCTGTTTTGCATCTACCCCTAACAATAACCCCATTAGTCAAGGAAGCAATGAAAGAAGTACAGAAGGAAGGAAGGGAGTATAGAAAGAAGATAAATTAATATTTGAGAAATTGCAAGAGGAGTGGGGGTGTAGCCTTGCCCTGATTTATTTTTGGATATATGCATTTGAATAATCTGTATGTGTTTGTCAGTGACATCCTGGGGTGGTCAAAATGGTAGAAGGCTGTAGGGAAGGAAGCCTTCCTGAATGCTTTTGGATTCCTTTGTGGAACAATAAAGCCAAGAGGTAGGAGTAAAAACACACTTTACACAGTCTTTGTTGTCTCCGAGTTTCAGCGTTTCCTGAAGCTAAATATGACATTATCGACCACTGGCCATATGGTTGGACTTATTTGTAAACTTTGAGAAAAAATGCAACAAACATACCTTTTTTTCCTGGAAGGATAACTGTGTCCACAGACATAAGCAAGTATATGCCAGCAATGAACGGCTGCCTGTGAGGAGGCACAGAGAGTCAGTCAGAGAACAGGAAGTGCTTGTCACAGTTTAATACACAACTTAGTTGAATACTTGATTCTGATTTGTCAATTTGGACATTTCAGAGGTTATGAATACTCAATAACCCACTGCTGCTAAGCAAAATAATGACCGTTGCAGACAGGAAGTAAGGCCACCTTTCATTTCATTTGTTCATTTACATCTTTATTTTGAACAGAATAAAAAACAAATGTAAAACAGAATAGCGTATTGGTCAACACAGTCTCACTCCCTGCGCGTCAAAGAACGACGCTTGGTCAGGGTCCTTTGGCGTCCATTTCTGACACAACAAGTCTCCTTCTGCTTCTTAAACTTACGCACAGAGCTTTCAACTGATTGAAACTATTCCCATCGGCGGTGATATTTGACGCTCAGGGCGCTGCAGCCATCAGTGGCAGGTAAAGGCAATGTGAGCGTCCCCTCCCATTGGATAACAGTACTCATTGTTGGGGAAATATTTTCCTAGGCCCATAACTTTTACCCTGTTTATCAGTTTGTACAATGAGCACCTGCAACCTTGGCTGCTGTGCTCTCAGTGTTTTGTCTCCCCAATCATTGTGAAAACATTACGTTTTCTTTCGCTTTTCTGCCATGTTCAGGGTAAAAACCGCACCTAGCGCACCATAGCTGCTCCCGCAAGCTTGTCTCAGCGAAAAGTGAACTCTGACCCCAGACAGGGTCACTAGAAGCGCCAAGGGGGTCATTTATACCACATTTTGAAATATGTGTAAATCTGTTAACCTGTTAAGCCCGGTGCCCCCGTTGGCGGAAGCTAAAAACAACAATATTCACGAAACTGTGTCTCAGGGCTTCTTAACATTTAATAACCTATTAATGTGTCATACCCACTTAACCTGTTAAGCCCTGAGCCTGTTTTTCAGGTCTCAGGCTCGAAAATGACATTCCCAGAACAAATGACCATATCTTCCCTTCTAAAAGGGTTAAATTAATAATCTTTTTTCTCAAAGTAATGATAAACCTGTGAGTTGGATGTAGAAAAGTCAGAATCAATATAGATGTTTTTTATTTTAAAGAAAATTCAGATTTTACATAGTAAAAAACTGTAAATTATAGTGTCCGTCCAAAGATTATTTTTTACTTATAGTGAAAACCACCCTTGGATGATGGGTTAGTAGACTAAAAGCTTTAGGAATCCAAAGTACAACATATAATAAGTACCCTGTATCAAGATTGATGCAAAACAAGTGACATTTGACCTTTTTAGAGAGATTTAGCTAAAAGAAACCACTTCTGGGGTCATTTGGGTGGATTTTCCATATCTCTGGCTTCCCTTGCTCGATTTTGATGGTTGACACCTCTTTCTGACCGTTAGAGCCAATATAATTGAAGGGGGAGTCCCCCACACACACACGTTGTGAAGAGAAAAGTGCCCCGGTACCGGGGTCTCTCGGGCTTAACAGGTTAACGGGAAGAAACTCAGTTACCTGACGATATGAACAATTTTTAACGAAACAAAACACAAGTCTAACGCCGAGCCTCTGAATTAGCACTAAGCGAAAGAGTACTAACGCACTTAGCACATAACTTCATCGGATCTGCCCAAACTAGAAAGCTGAGCCTGAAAGCTGAGATTCCACAGATTCCAATGGTATACGTATCATCACTGTGAGACCAGAACTCACGGCAGCGAAGGCAAGCAAAGACAACACACAACTTCAATTTACGGGGCCAAAACGGCAAATACGTCTTACCTTTGCTGTTTTCTGATTAAAAGTTGTGTTCAATGGCATTACAACGCATATAAACGCTGCTGAAGGTTAATCCAATGTCTCTGTCTGATTACTGATAACCCATCATCATATTTATGGCAATAATCGCATTTTTCATAATAGAGTGTGACGGAGCTTCCGGTTTTGGGCAAGCTGCGAGCGCATCATTCTAACTCCTCAATGGAAATGTTTAGATGGATTGAGGAACTTCCTCTCGATTCTATTGGCTCTAACGGTTCAAAAGAGGTGTCAATGACCAAAATCGACCAATGGGTTCCAGAGATATGGCAAATACACCCAAATGACCCCAAAGGTGGGTTTTTTTTCTAAACCTCTCTAAAAAGGTCAAATTTCACTTGTTTTGTATCAATCTTGATACAGGGTACTTATATGTTATAGTTTGGATTCCTAAAGCTTTTTGTCTACTATCCCATCATTCAAGGGTGGTTTTCACTATAAGTAATGGGTTTTTTTTGGACGGAAACTATAATTGACATTTTTTTTACTATGTTCAATCTGAATTTACTTTAAAAATAAAAATATCTTTATTGATTCTGACTTTTCTACAACCAACTCACAGGAGTATCATTGCTTTGAGAAAAAAGATTATTAAAATACCCTTTTAGAAGTGAAGATATAGTCATTTGTTCTGGGCATGTCAATTTCGAGCCTAAAACCTGAAAAACAGGCTCAGGGCTTAACAGGTTAATATAAAACCCCCACACTGCTCAAACTTCGTGACTTTTCCTAAAATAGGTATGAGCATTTATACCTATAACCCCTCATATAAACATATGCATAATGCTGCGCTATACTTTGCCGCCACACCCCGTTGCCAAGCAACGCTTATTGTTTAGGTATCCCTTGATAAGCAGGCAGTCAAATAATTAGCTAAAACTAGCTAGATCTGATAGATATGGACATAAACGCGAGTGAAGTATAATCGGACCGGAGGGAGAGATCAGTGATCAGGATCAGCTGACGGAGACACGCAGCTCTACATGATCACCTGCAGCTCTACATGATGCAGCTCTCCATGATCACCTGCAGCTCTACATGATCACCTGCAGCTCTACATGATCACATGTAGCGCATCATTCATTGATTTATTGTAAAATGAATCTGAACTTTTGTATCTCTTACGATGATAAACTGAAGCAATTACAAAATTAACTCCATTAAGTGAGTTTTAAATAGTGTTTTTGTTAAGTCCTACTAATGCATATAAGGAAAATAATGCAAGTGTGATTGATTCAAAAAGAAAAAGAACACCATTAATAATAATAATAATAATAATACATTTGATTTCTAAGTGCTTTTTCAGGTGCTCAAAGACACTTAACAGTGGTATTAAAAAGGAAATAAAATAAAATATAAAAAGTTGAATTAAAATATTAAAACAGCAACACAACATTATTCACACATTATAAGCCAGTCTGAAGAGGTGTGCTTTGGTCAGTGTTTTGAAGGTGGGGGGTCAGTGCAGTCTCTGATGTTTAATGGGAGTGAGCTCCAGAGGATGTGGGCAGCGATGGAGATGTGATTGGTGGCGATTTAATTTGAACGGGACAGCGCAAAACGAGAAGCATTCGGACCCAAGTAGACGGAAGGAATGAGGTATTTGCGGTCTACAATGACAGAGAAGAGACTGTCAAGTTTGGCTGTACTCAGCATTGAATCAAAACGCACTAAAGCTTTAGATCTTAAGAAGTTTGTGAGGCGTTTTGCTGAACAAGATGGTAATCGCCGCATTCAGCTGTTATAGGCATGCCAACTTGATGCTCTGCTCACAGATGACTCGATGAGCATACAAAACTGTTAAGATAATGACCTTACATGTGTAAATATATTTTTTTCTTTGTGGGGGTCTGTCCTGAGAAAGTCAAATAAGACGGTGTGTAAAACTACACTGCCCAGCCAAAAAAAAGTAACCACTTTGATTTAACTAGGCCAGTAGGTAAGGGCATTCCACTGGATAATAATACCCCTGCATTATAGCAACAACAATAATAGCAATAATAATCGGAAGGGGGGGCGCGGCTGTCCTTATGTTCTCTGAGGGGAGGCTCACCTTCCCACACTTTGAATACCCCTGTACAAAGCATACAAATAAAGTGTGTAATGTAGGCCTGTTACATATATTATTGAGTGATATATATTATACACACTGTTCTCCTCTCTCCAATGACCTCAGCAGCTGTTCTCACTGTAAACATCGCGTCACAATGAAAGCAGTTGTATTAAAAAAATAAATAGCCTAACATCCAGGGGAGATGTGATTAGTGAGTAAACAAACGGTAAAGGGCAGAAAGTCTGATGCACATTTGATCATCTTAAATAACTTATAATCACAACGGGAACAGTTTGCAGAGCTGTGCTTTGTTGACATAAGTCCAGCCATGCGTTACGCCTCTTTTAAACATCACTGTTGCCTGAAATTGACCACGGAGGATACATCAGTGTTCCCTCGGTTAAAGCTCCTACCAGAGAGACTCCTCTCTCCTCTAAATCAGTGTATCCTCGGTTACGTCTCCTCCAGACAGCCTCCTCGATAATCGATCCTTGATGAGCCTTTAGAGACATTTGTTTACCTTCGAGACGGCGCGCCGACATCCGTTTCCGGGTCGCTGCCGGAGGACGGAGGAGTCGAGGATGCGAAAATTTGAGAAATTACAAATGGCTCATTTCGCAGGACTCGTGTGCGTCGACTTGACGCCGGGATGCCCGGCGACCCTCCCCGACAGGCGCAAAGACGCGAGGGCCCGCTCATCACTGCGCACGACTGTGAATGCAGTTTTAATTATTATTATTATTATCATCGTGTTTGATGGCGAGCATTTTCCATTGCAACAGGATTTGACGAAATCTCAAAACTGACATGTAGTTGTCTTTAGGGCTGGACTGTTGAAGTTTGACCAGTTTTTGACCATTTTCATAGGAGTTTTAGCAATATCTTTTTTTACGGCGAGGGATGGCAACAGCTTTTGAGGAAAACTCACTATTATCATATTGAGGTGTTGAGGGCTGGAGCATTAAAGAGCTTACGAAATGCTATTAACACCTGTTAGTGGGCTTGGTATATGATAGAGCAGTGGTTCTCAAATTGGGGTACGCGGACCCCTAGGGGTACATTGGAGTACTGCAGGGGGCATGTGAGATTTATTTTATGTTAATGAAAAAAAAAAACATAATTAATGCATTTAAACAAACTACTAATAGTAGATGAA